TACAACTAATGGTTGTATGTCAACATAAAACCATTATTTGTATTTGATGGTCAGAAGTTTCCTGGAAAACAAGCTGAACATGAGAAACGTAAAAGGGAAATCAAAATTGCTGGATCGGTTGGACTAATACATGTATTGTTCATTTACTAAATGGCTTGTGCATTTTCATTTGGAAACAGAATTTGTAGAGATCTGACATAATTTTGTATTAACAAGGAATTTTATTAAGAAATTTAATGCTATATGTGTAATGGCTACAGATGAACTTCTAACTTCTGATCTTTATTAGTCCAAAAGTAACTATTTGCCCACTCAACTTGAGTCTGTTACATCAATACATATGGAGAATGATTAACTAAAATAAAGAAAATACAAACAATATAGGTATAGTCAAATAAAGCTATGAAAATCCCTAACCCTACTTACTGTACATATACAAAAAATAAAACACTACATAACCTCTAATATGCAGACTAAGAACTACTAAATAAATCGTACAGTACATCGATAAATTACGAAATAAATGTATTATTATACGCGGTGTTACTATTGCAGAGACTGCAACACACGAGGTACCAATAAATCGATGTTGTCAGTAACACAAAACGCATGTGTCTGATTTATACCGACGGTCAGTAGATAGCATAAAACTAGTAATATGCAAGTAAATAGATTCCTACCATGATTATAGACGACTCAAGCAGACCAGGCACTATTTATCTACAGCTCTCTACTATTATATGTGTGGTAACTAACACAATTACCAAAACAAACACATATTTGACCTTCTCGTTCCTAAAACTCTGCGGCAGCCACCATGTTTCGTCTAAGGGCCAAAATACCTAACCAAAACTTGTCAATAGGTGGCACTATAACCAAAAATAGCTATAATATGTGTTTTTGGCCGTAATATTCCGGCCCTCCAATAGAGAGAAAACTTCTTTCAAACTATTACAAATAACTTATACATGTGAAGGACAAAAATTTACAAATATCTGATTAACTAAAGATGATAATAAGAGGTCACTGTGCTCTGCTATTCGAATCGGCCTCGAGTATCAGGCACAACTTGTCCACTGGGTGTGTTAAAATGTTCACTTTTGTTTTTACTTTAACGAAAAGAACGACTCCTTTGCTGTCTATCATAATCTCGATGACTTTTCCCATGGGCCAAGATCCTTTTGTTGCAGAACTATCAATTACGAGTACTATGTCTACAATAGTAAGGTTTCCTCTTGGTTGAATCCACCTTTGCCTTTCCTGTAAAGTAAATGGTCAGCATTGTACCCCTACCTAGATGTCCAACGGCCCTATGAACATCTTCTAAGATTAATTTGGATACAAATGAGTCCTTGGGCAGGACTATTGGGTGCTTCATTGAGATTGGCAGTGATGCACGCTCAAGACACCCACCAACCCGTAGTAGACAATCTTTCAGGATTGGGTCTAATTTATACAGTGAGCTGGTTCTCTTTATCATTCTTCCTTTATCAGAATGATAACACTTCAAGTTCACTTAGGAAGTGTTGCTGCAGAACATGCCTCAATATTGACGTTTCTGTTGACCGCAACATTTCATGGCTTAGGGTTGCATGTTTGTCATTCTGGATTGACTTAAATTTCATCTTGTTCATCTTCTCCTCCAAAAGTATATCTCTTTTTTGTTAGTTTACCTGTACTTCTATAACATTTTTTGGAGGTCTTTATGATGCTTTACCCACTGCTGTAAATTTACTCCATAGGCTTCAAACCGAGCAACTGCCCCCTTTAGCTTTGACCATGAGGAGAAGTGCGTTAACAGCTTGTTCATCACCACTGATGCATCACTCACTACCATAGTGTGCACTTCCCTTTTCACCTCTGGATCTCCATCTGGAATAACTTTACTGACTACAACTGACTGTGGTCATTCACTTTTTTTTTGTTTTGCCATAAGAAACCAGGTCCTTCTAGCCATCTTTTGTTGCAGAGAAACTTATCTGAAGTCATTCATCTGGATGCATCATCCGCTGGATTCTGATTTGTATCTATATACCTCCACTGCTGTGCTGTTGAGCCTTCTAAAATGATGTTGACACGATTGGCTACGAAAGTGTGGAATCGTGCTGTCTGGTTAGAACAGTATCTCAAGACAGACATACTATCTGTCCAAAAGTAGCTGTTATCTATCCTGTAGTCAAGCTCCTTTTCTAACCTTTTGTTCATGCGAACTGACATGGTTGATGCTGTTAGTTCCATTCTATGCATA